ATTATTATTATTATTATTATTATTATTATTATTATTATTATTATTATTATTATTATTATTATTATTATTATTATTATTATTAATATTATTATTAATATTGATCTTGGGGAGTTGATGTGCTCCCGTACTGTTGTGTGTAGTCTGTGCTCCACAAAGATTACGTTAAAACAGTGTATTTTGACTTATTTTTGAAATTTTAAGTTTTCTACTGTTTTCGTGGTGTGCCCTGTGTGGGACCTTACATTTGCAGACGTTATTTATTCAAAATAACTGTACCTGCTTTGTTGTGGCTCTTTTATCAAGTGAGTGTTTACTGTTTTTATCGTTTTCCGGACGGCCGTTGGTAAACTAGTCTGAGCGATTAAATAAACATGTCATCTACTAATAAATGCAAAAGGTGTAAAAGTTCGGTTCAGATTGGCTTAAAATGTATAAATTGCGGCGTGGTATCCCATAAAAGCTGTCTCAATGCCTTGAAGGGTGTCAAGTTTATTGACGATGCTACAGTTAACTGTTGCTCAGTGACTCCTATAGACATTAACTCTGCAGCTAATTCAAGTAAACAGGATAAAATTATATTGAATCCAGTTAACCCAGTTATTTCTACACCTGTAAATTGTGTGGGTAATGTGGAAGAAATTAAAATTAAATATTTAGAAGAATTATTGCGACAGAAGGATCTGACTATCTTAAATCAGTCCATTGCTATAAACTCTTTGCAAAAGCAAGTGGCTTATTTGAAGCACGAACTAAAACTTCAAGAAGAATCTCCAAATAGCAATGTTGCTCTTATGGGGGAGTCCAACCAGGAAATTCGGATTTCTAGTGATAAAAATAAAAATAAAAGCAAAAACAAAAATAAGATTAAAAATGTCAATAATAATACTCCTATAATTTCTTCTGCTGCTGTCTCGCATTCCATTCATTTGGCTCAAGCGCAGAAAGTTTGTAAAGACATAATTCATTTAAATAAAAATTCACAGGGTGCTCAGGATATTCCCGGCAAACATCATCGCAAGATATTGTGCAACGGCGTGTTGCCCATGTGTCGCGAAGAAAATCCAGAAACATTCTTGTAGGCGATGGTAAACATTTGCCTGATAGTTTGCTAAAGTCAGCCAAGGACACCGAGTGTAAGCAGTTCCATTCTACTTATTGGGATCCAGAAACTGACGAGGGCACTCTTTCTGA